CCACGTATGTAGTCATCAAGTGCATATTTCTGACATCTTTACAGTGTTCTCTTTAAAATTCATCAGAGGTAAGCATTCAAAAGTCAGCCGGAGGTGGCATTTCAACCAACTCGTGAAGCTAACATTAGCTAAATAAGAAAATAGAAATAGCAAAAATAAGATTTCTGATTTTGTCTGAACTCAAGGACTAATTATTGAGAAGATTACTAGGAATTTCAAGTGATACGTCTGCCAAGGCTAGGGTGTAGCATCAGTAATCAAAGCGGTGGGGCATAGTGAACAGATCATCCCTCCAGTCACAGGCCTGCTGTCACAACCTCTAGGACATTGCTGCCCACTTCAGAGTCCAGTTGGATCTTGAACATGGAGAAACCTATATGACTCCTCCCACAGGTATTGTAGGAAATATTTTAATGTTGAATAATATGTATTACATAGCGATTAAGTTTAACTTTCTTCTCTTGAACGAGCAGCAGTTTCCCTTCTCCTCAAAAGGTACGCTGCTGATGCCAAGAGCTTTATTCACACGCTTGTAATCCTGCTTCAATCAGCTCTTTTTCCTCTTCGTGTAAAGATAAGCCCAGCATTTATGGCCCACACAGCACCCCCTGCACCCCGCTCTAATTAATATGCAGGAGATAAGTACTTGTCTGACAAAATTCATTTGTTTGACCTTCTAGGTTTTACACTAAACAGTTTGCGGCCGCTGCAAGTTCACCACAAGTTGAGAGCTCCCTTGAGTTTCTGCAGCGAGATGGGGCTTTTGTTTCTCTCTGAGAGGTTTAATTTGGACAGCTCGCTCTCCCTCGCCGCTTCTCTCCCTCACTCTCTCAAATTGTCTTGTGACTTTCATTCGGCGGTCTCTGTTTCTTAATTGTCCTTAATTGCTTAATTACAATTTCAAATGAACAATTCTGGAGGTCAGAGCGGGTTGTTAATTGAAGCATCAATCACAGTGGTGGGGCCTTCAGAACCGTCTCAGTTTGATTGACAGGGCATTAACTGAGTATTGTAGTAAGTCTGGACATGACATTGTGTGGGCTCCATGGCTGTTACCACTGTTACTGCTCCTCTCTCTACTGTCCTTCACATGATGCTGTGAAGGAGAACTTTCTGGGATAGAATCAGGACAGGGACAGATTAAATTGAACTGAATTTGTTTTGTGTCTTCACCCACAAAAACCAAGATGTGGCTGTAGGTCCTTCAACTTCTTTCTGTGCCTGTTCTATTTAACATGACTGAAACTTTGTTTGCCCCTAAAAAATTTATGTTTTTTTGAATAGGGTTGCATCTAACGATCGTTTTCATTATCAATTATGATTATTACTATCTTGATTAATCAAGTCATCCTTCAGTTTTTATAAAATGTGGGAAAAAAGTGAAAACACTTTACTTTCCCACAGCACATGTGACATCTTGAAATCTTCTTTTGTCTGAAAACCTAAAGAGATTTTACTATAAGACTAAAGGGAAAGTTTCAATTATTTGGATTTTTACTTCATAAATGACTTACCTTTTTAATTATTAAATCAAATCATTGCAGATTATGTTTTTTGGTAATGGACTTATTGATTAATCAACTAATTGTTTCAGCTTTATGTGTTTGTTTATAGTCTTTAATACCTCCGTTTGTATGAGCTAATGTATTCATAGTTTTCATTGTTGCTTCAGATACTAGACATTCCATTCCTTTAATGTGTGAAACATCAAAAATGTATTTAAACAATTAATTGACCTCAACGCCATCGAATGTTGCAGCAAATCAGTTTCTGAACCCATAGATTCAAGTTCTAAAATCTTGTGTAAATTATTACTAGAGTAGTATGGAGACTATTAAAGCAGCATCAACAACCACATGAGTGTCATTTTTGTCCGCATACTTTTGTCCATGTAGTGTTTCCAGCTCCTTGTGATGTTGAGATTCTGAGTAATAAAGTAAAATGTCAGCTGAATTTGCAGATCAGATGTTCACGGGGGTTAGCATGTAACCGCCAGTTAACCTCTCTGCTGTACTCAGTCTGCCACTTTGGATCACCCACCTCCAATCCATCCATCTCCTCCTCCTTTTACTCTTCTCCCTCCTCCCAGCCTCCATCTCCTCCAGAGGGGAGAGACCCAGGTGATTATTAGGCTGGTTTCCCTCATCTAGACCCTGGCTGGTTGGTTGAAACTCCTTCCACCCTCCTTCCTCTGCCTAATGGAGCTGGATCTACCTCTCTCACCACCTCCCTCTCTTTCTAAACTCACCCTCTCCCTCTTCTCTGTTTCTCCATCTACCCTTCCCCTCCTTCTTTCCATTCCCTATATAACTCTCCCTTTATGTCTCTGTATATTTCTCCCTATGACTACGTCCCTTCACTACCACTGCTCAGTTGGCTGCATGTAGCTTTTTTCTCCCTCTTGCTCTTTTATTGTTTTGTTTTTCTGTTGTTTCTACCTTCCTCCTCCCTCCCACTGTCCTCTTATACCCCTCCTCCTCCAACTTCTCCTGCTGCTGCTGCTCCTCTCCTCTGGGGCGCCATCCATCAGGTTGTCGGGGGCTGCTAGCGGCCGACTCCCAGCCACCATATTTCACCGCCAGCCAGCCAAGCAGCTGACAGCACAGCCACCACCAGGAAATTGCTTTGGCTGTGAGCGGAATTTCAAACACAGGCACACTGCGTCGCCTGGGCCGCCCAAGCTCTGTTTCCCTCTCTCTCTCTCTTTCTCTCTCTCTCTCCCCTGTCAATCTCTCTGCACCTCCCTACATACATCTCTATGTCTCTCCCTATCTCTCTCTGTCTTTCTCTCTCTCTCTCTCTCTCTTGTCTTTATGCACTTATTTCCTCTCTTTCTCTTTCTTTGCTCCCCCATCTCTATATGTTTTTTCAGTTTGTTCCTCCCTGCCCCTCCGTCACTTCACAGACACACAAACACACAGTCACAAACCCATATGTATAATTTTTCTCTCTTTGTCTTTTGTCCGTCTTTGTTGTTTCCCCTCTCTGCTCTCCTTCCCCCCTTCACTTCCCACTATCTCTCTCTCTCTTCTTTTCCATCCCCTTGTTCTTCCTTTCCTCTTTACGACCCACGGGCAACAAGGTGTGGTGCTGAATGTGTAATGAGTGGAGGGAGGGAGAGAGGGAGATAAAGAGGAGGAAGGAAAAGAGGGATAAAACCAGGAGACGGAGTACGGAGTAATAAGAGGAGGTGGAGAGGAGGGATGCTGGTTGGTGCTGCTCCTGAGTTAAGGGTCAGAAGGTGTGTGTATGTGTGTGTGTGTGTGTGTGTGTGTGTGGTTGTGAGGGGGCTGTATTCCTGCCCGTGTCCTAACCAGTTTAAGATCAGTGACGTGACAAGGTTTTTGGGAGGTCATTTTTGCTGGTTTAGGTGCAATGTCTGGGGTTTATGGTTGTTTTTTTCTTTTTGGAGACTGAACTGCATACGCAGCAAAGAGCAATCAAAATCCCGTGTCCATTCAAATACAAGAGAGATAAAAACATGTTGTAGCTTTGTGGTTAGGTGCTTGAGTTCATCATAAAGGAAACGCAGCTAAAGTTGGCAGGGAATTCTTGTAGAAAGTTGCAATAAGTGAAAAATTTATAAATTGTTAAACTAAAATGTACAATTTGTCATATTTATTCAGTTCGTTATTGTCAGGTGAATATATGTAACTAGAACGTTGATGGTGTTTGGGTGAATTTCCTTTAATAGACCCCTATAGTTGTGGACCTATTCCACACTACATGATATGTAGACATAAGAATACCTTATGTGATATATTTTGCATATACTGTTGATTGTCAGAATAGAGGGAATTGCTACGATGTACTGTTTTGCACTACCATGACACATGCACAGATGGACATCAGACTGCAACTTTGAAAAGCTTCTGCCAATTTCAATTAGAAAACTTCAGACCGCAAAATGTTTTTGCACAACCTTTTTTTTTTATTTTCTGAAATTTTCCTGTTGCTTTCTCACTACCATCCTCAATGTGATTTAATTTTTTTTAAGCTTTGAGCAGCTTTACTACTTATTTTGTGTGTTGCATTGAGGTTTTGTCCAATTTCCCTTTCACCGCACACTCAAAAATCTCAATTCACTTAATGCATACTGACACTACATACTCAAAATATACCTTAGTATGTCCTTAAAATATGCATAACTTCCAACCACCCCGGTAGCAGAGCGCTGCCTTGGATTTTACATGGACTATATTGAGTTTAATGGTATTCAAGCCCACTCCATCAGTGTAAATTGCATTTTCGTTACTTTACATATGCATGAACAACATCAAATCTCTCAAACTGCAGACTTTTATGAGTATTAAATACCTGAAATGGGTGCTCATCCAGGACTGTGATAGTCCTGCATCTAGATAGGTCTTAGTGAGGGTTATAGTTAAAGCTCGGAGAATAAGTCAAGTCAGTGGAAGCGCCCCTATTTGTATCACAAGATAAAAGTCTGTATATGCGCATATGTGCCTGTGTGTCGATCAAGTGATAACAGTCAAGCAACAGAAAGAGATCTTATCAAATTCTTTTTACACTGTGTATAGTGAAGAGAAAAGACAGACATAATCAATATGATGTCAATATTAACCTGATAGATAAGTATGTGATGAATCTGTGGCATCCACATGAGAGTGTGTGTCTTTACACCATATTCATCTCTGCTCACCATCCATATTTGTAGGTGTGCCCTTCAGAAGGACAGTCTGATTGAAGTTATATCTGGGTGGTTGGCTCCTTTCAAGTAGTAAACATATTCTCAGTCTGCAGTGTCTGGAGGATTTGTAGTCGTCCCACCGGTGAAAGCCTTCCCCCAGCACAGTAACCCCAGAGCAAAGAAAGCCTTCCCATAATCCCAGTGGGTAAAGTGGTATGGACTGTTGCTTACACTGTCAAAAAAACCATCCCATCTTACCCACTAACCTGCTGTGTTTTATCTTCTGTCTGTGTGTCTTTCTGTCCCGCTGTTCTCTTTCACCTCCTCCCTCCCTCTTTTCCTCCATCAGAGAGTTAGCTTGGAGTTCTACATTGATGTTCATGCCCACTCCACCATGCTGAATGGCTTCATGTACGGCAATGTGTTCGAGGACGAGGAGCGCGTCCAGAGACAAGCTGTCTTCCCCAGGCTGCTGTGCCAAAATGCACCAGACTTCTCCTTTGTAAGTCATGCAAACAGACACACACAAACATACCAGAGAGGCAGATCTATGAGCAGAATTTCACCAAGTCCAATCCCGGTGCTAGCTCGGAAAGAGAACATGAAATAGTCTTATCTCAGCGAATACTAGTGAGGTGTTGTTCAGTGAGGCACTTAATTGCCACCTGCTGCCTTCTTAGTGGCACACACTTAAAGACCTTGGTTGCACCGGGCGCCTCCCAGGTGTAAATATGTGTAACTGCATGGATTTGAAGCGAGGTGTTGATTGAAAAAAAAACACCCAGCTTAGTTGGTTTTAGGTGAGGAAAAATATGTACACAGACTGCATGTATGTCTTCATTAGCAATACATTATGCACCCAGCTGGCAGATGTGAGTGTAAATATGAACACACACACTTGCACACACAGAAGGTGTTAAATTGTTTGAGGGGATTTGTGTGTAGAAGAAAGCAGCGTGTTCCAGCTGTGTTCACCTTGACCACAAAAGAGAGGAGCTGAGGTGAGTGTGGATAAGATGAAAGGGTAAAACTATATAAACCCAGACAATTCAGTTCAATTAACTAGTAACAGGATACAGAATTGATTTTACCTCTGGAATATAATTAAAAAGATATGAATTATGTATAAAAAAAAAAAATACAGCAGAAATTCAGTGTTAGGTATGTACATAACATTTTGGTGTGCCAAAACAGCAGCAGTGGTGGCAGAAGTCCTTGAGGAGCAAAAATATGAATGGAAATTATGTATGGAGAAACTGCACTTTTCTTCCAAAAATAAAGTATGAAATAAGCTGCAAAGTATCAATATGCTGTCCAATGTAACAAGTAAGAGGACAATAAGAATTGTTAACTTAAACAATGTAATATGAATTTGACTTGTTGCAGGAGATCCTACAGATGCACAGAACAGAGATACAGTTTCCTACAAGTTTCCTAGACCTGTAACCATTGATATGAATATGCATTTATACTTTATGTCTGTGCAGAACAGAAATAGCAAACACTGTATAGGTCATGACGAAGCATAAGCCTGTAAAAGTAGGCCAGGATATTCTGTATGAGCAGTGCAGGTGTTCTTAAAGGACCCTTTGAGGTGGCTGAAATTGTGTTTATTTGGACAGGACTGTGGAGACTGAAGGCAGCGAGGAGGGGAGAACAAAGGGGGATGTTAACATATTGGAAAATGAATGGCAGAAAGAAGCAAAGAGCATGTGGGAAAAAACATCCATTCACTGACTATGACGCTACTCCACCCAGCCACACATGCATAACATAATAACACCTTTTCATACAGGTACATTATCCACCAAACTGTTTCCTCTCAACCATGTGCCACTTCCACTGACCTTCGTTTTCTCAGTGACGGTGACATTTCATAGCAGAGCCACTTACACACATCATAAAGAATAACCTTTATTGCCCATTGACACTCAGTGCCATCCTCGACACAGGGACACACCAGAAAGGCGGATGCTCACCCACACATGTATGGAAATGTCAGTGTACGCAGTGTTGACGAAGGGAAGACTAAAACGTGATTTCAGGAGAATATCTCTCTCTCTCTCTTTTTCTATTGCTTTTGTGACAGCTGGCCCAGGGGTCAACCTCACTGTGCTTTTGTCCCTCTGCCCATTCAGCACTACTTAAAGCCCAATGCAGCAGCAGCAGCAGCAGCAGCAGCAGCAGCAGAACACAATCATGACAAACTCCCACTGGTGGCCGCCAAGTCTGCATTTTAGTGAGGCACTGCAGCAGAGTGGAGTGACAGTGAATGGAAAATTTTTCCACACTCTTCCCAAGACAGCACCGTATTTGTGTAGTATAGCTGACACGCTGAAACCAAAAAATAGACTGGATTTTTTTCCCTGCTATAGCTAGTCTTTATAATAACATTGTATGACGTAAATCTGTTCAAATAAGCTATTGTACCCTTAACAAATTTGCCCAGGATTCTCGAGAGGCTTACCGCTGCAAGTTACAGAGAAACAAATCACTGGGTGTTAATGCTTTTTCACTGATGAGACATGTCAGCCGATATTGACAGTTTTGTTTTTTCATTTATCAACAAGGAAATATAGTCAAATGAAATTGTGAGTCAAATATTTATGATGTTAACGGTTTCTGTGCAGATATTAATGGATGTATTAAGAGGTTTGTTTTAATGTAGTTGGTTAAGTTATTACATAGCTGGTTCAGGGTTCATGTGACATAAGACCCTGCAGTAAATAATGTGATTACTAATGGCAGTAATGGTAATGTACTTTAGACACACTCAATTTGACTTATATTTGACAATATTATACTGATGCCAAAGGTTGTTCCGTGCTACATATGGTCTGTGATACATTCAAAAACCAGCGTGATAAGAGCATAACTTCAGTGATCCCAGACACATATGACCTATATACCTTTACCTAAACACATCCCAGAGAAGTCAATAGAAATTGGTATAACTTGAAAGTTTAGTAGCAATCAATGTAAAACACAGACAAGTCGAGAAAAAAAAAATTGTATCACACACAGTGGTGTGCAACAAATAAAACATAAAACTAGTCAATATACAATTAAAGGAAATAAAATTATACATGACATTGTGGATTTAATTCAATAAATAAAACATAAACTATTCAATATACAAATAAAGGAGAAATAAAATACGCATCACACATTGAAAGCTTTTTTGTATAAATGTGTCTTAAGAAGTGAGATAAAACCAGGAAAAGACTGTCTGATATCTTCTGGTACTGTTCCAGAGTGTAGGGGGCCTGACAGCAAAGGTCCTGTCTCCTATGGTTTTTAGCCTAGACCTTGCAATAGTTAGCAACGCCCTACCAGAGGATCGCAGTCTGCGTCCTGGCTCATAGGGGGATAAAAGCTCAGAGATCTATGAAGGTGCTATCCCATGTCTGGGCTGAGTGGGTTTATTATCACTTTTATTTTCACTGAAAACAGCTTTCTGCTGTGGCTGAAAACATCGCTGATGAGAGGGGTGAGAGTGAAGTTAAATAGTACAGTTGCGAGCCTGAAAACCAAAACAATGAACTGAAAGACACTTAAAGGGGTAATTCACCACTGGAAAGAAGATATTTTAATTTAACTGGTCTGTCTAAGCACTAGAAAGTAAAATATTATATAATATAATAAAATAGCAAATATTTTTTAATTGGTTCTACATGACCAGAGAAAACAAAGAAATAGGACTGTAGTTTTCTCTTTTCCTCAAAAGGTAGAAAACCTACAACAGCCAGAATGCACTGGGCCTGTTGCCTTTGAAAGCCTCTCCCAGTGTAAACATCCCCAGCTCCTACAAACAGCTGGTCAGAGCTACCTATGCTGTTCATTTGCTTTTACCACCCACATTGTAATGATGAGCAAAGCTGGTTGCAAAGGGAAAGTGTCCCTTTAAAACACTCTGTACAGTTGAGGGTAACTGCAGAGTTTGGAGATAATTCTATGTGGGTTAATCATTACGAGCCTTTCAAATTATGTATAGTCATCTGATTCATTGTTATTACAAAAAAAGTTGATTATAGCTGCTTTAAATCTTTTGGTTACCATAGGAACACTCACAGGTCTTAGCAGATTTGCCAAACATAAAGGTCACTTTGTGATTCTACAGAAGTTGGTGGTAAGTGACCCATTTCCACGGTGCAGTGTTGACTTTTTCAAGTAAGTTATGTGTAAACTGGGACACAAAAACACAAAAGCAATATGTTTTTGCTGAATGTGTATTTTCTTCTGTTACTGTTCTGTAATCTGTCAGTCAGTTTTACAAGGACTTTAAAAAACATTTTATTTTGGACAGTTTCAGCTGGGAAATAAGGCCAGCTTACCACTAGTACATTTAAAGTATAAACTCAAAACAATTATACATAGAGGTATTCAGGATCTATAGGGGTATTTAGTCAGAGCTAATGATCTCCGTAGGGAAATTCTGCAGAGTCCAGAGTCTTCCTTTAACAAGGTGGATGTTTGCTGACACAAAGACTTGAAGTGTCATCTCTCTAACCACTAGTCTAGCACTAGTAGTAATCACTACGTCTCAGTTGTTGTTGTTTTTTTTGTGTAACCCTGTAGTCCAACACATCCTTCAACCGGGACGTAGTGAAGGCCGGTACCGGTAGACGGTTCCTCGGTGGTCTCCTTGATGACACATCCTACTGCTACACGCTAGAGGTGTCCTTCTACAGCTACATGACAGCTGGCAGCACTGCTCCTGTGCCCTACACTGAAGAGACATGTATCCTTCAAAATATATGATCTGTGTGTATGCATCTGTGTGGAAGTGTGTCCAGGAAGGAAAATATATGGCTCAGAGTGTAGAGAGCGGCAGTTACGATCTACTGCGTCTCTCTAAACTTCTCCACCATCCTTGTTTCTCACACACACACACACACACACACACACACACACACACACACACACACGCACACTGTTCCCACACTCATACAACAATCTCCCACTGAAATCAAGCCAATTGATCTTCAATCTAATCATCAGAGTCATTATTCTAATATTTGTGTTCCTGTTTGTGTGAGTGTTTGTGTACCAGGTCACATGTACTCACTAGAAAACCATGTTGCTCTTTTGTTGCCTGTTGTTGCGACAGATGTGCAGTGACAGAATAGGGATGTGATAGCTGTGTCTATTGATTTCATTTACAAAGGAGAGAGGAGAAAGGGGCTTGTGTTGGCATATGCAGTGCTGCGTGTGCGTGCGCAGTTGCGGCTTTGATTGTGCTAAACAATGGAACAATGGAACAAACACGATTCCTGTCGCCTACAATCACGCACACACACACACACACACACACACATAGGAGCTGCACACAAACATTCGTCACAGGAACCGAAGGTCACAGGTGCCTTAATGGAGCCAGATGGGAGGAAGTTTTCCTTCAGCTGACCTTCTCGGAGCTAAAGAGTTCCTGAGAGCTGGCCAATGGTGGTCTGATCTTACTGATAGAGTGAGTAAGAAGAGGGAGAAAGAGAGATTTAGACAGAGTGATAAGGACCCTACACATGAAAAGTATGTGCTCCCCTACACATCTTCTGCATGTGGACGGTTAGGGTGGATATATATGTAGCCGTAGTGCCCTCTAGTGCTTAGAGCTGGCACAGTCTGACTCACTAAATATTTCCGATTCACACCCACATTAAAAGTTAGTATTCAGGTCAATTCTACATATTGATGACTGGAAATGTATAGAAGTGATACAGTGACAGACAAACATGTATCCTGTGAGCAATGAGATTTTTGGGGGAAGACGGAAAAAACACACTTGGTATTTTTCCTTGAATGGATGTAAAAAGAAAAGGCATTACTCAAACTTGCTCGTGCAGATTAGGGTGTGTGTGTGTGTGTGTGTTTTCTATGCTTTCTCATCAGTCTACCGCTTCTCATAGAAACATCTCAGGTCTTTACATTACAGTTGTGGTGGCAAAATGGAAATATAGACATGTGCATGCACACAGGGCTCCATCACAGCTACAAACAAATAGTTAGCCTCACATTGAGGAGACAGGCGTTTGGCTGTTATGATGAACAGCGCATAACAAATTCCACTGTGTGTTTTCATTTGAGTTCGTGGCACTGGGTTCAGAGCATGATAAGACATAGGGAGCCAGGTTTCTGCCTCTGTGTGTGTGCAGAGAGGACATTTCTTCTGAAGGTCAAAATCTCAGCCCTTGTGGGAGGACTTGCTTGATCTTTATGTTTTCCAGGAGTGTGTGTGTGTGTGTGTGTGTGTGTACATCTTTGGCTGCGAGAAGGGTAGGTGTACAATGAGGAGGGGCTCCACAGGGTGGGCAGGCAGCACAGGGACGTGGTGTAGAGTGGAGATTGGGGTCAGGCAGGTTGAAGGAACCGACCATGTCGCTTTATACGCCCCAGCAGTCAGCTCGATGGAGCGTGCAAATCATCAACAGAGACCTTTAGCATCTCAACGCCCCCCCTCCACCTTTCTCACCTGATGCACACACATGCACACGCAGGCACGGATGCACAGTCCTCTAAACTAATACATGACAAATGAATAATAACCTGGGACCACCTTCCAAACATGCCGCCCTTACTTACCCTTTCATCTCTCATGACTCTTCTTCTCCACTGCTGTGACTTGTAGCCACCAAAATTGAAACCTTAACCTTTCTCACAGCTGAGACTTTTGTCACAGTTTGAAGGTGCACACAGAAAAAGGCGTAATGCAGTGTATGTCTGTATTTGTTTTCTGATCTCTCCTCTTCCTCTCATGTCCTCCTCTGTCCTCTATTATGTCCTTTCCTCTCATCTCATCACCCAGAACATAACAGCTCATTATATCATTTAGTCAAGCTGAGAATCCTCTTCTCTGAAACAGCAGGGACAACCTCTATCGTGAGTCTGTCTCCTCTTCGTCCTCTAATCATTAAACACCTGTATGTGTGTGTGTGTGTGTGTGTGTGTACTCCTACATGTTCTTATGCTTACATACTTTACTGTAGGTTAGTTTCAGCAAGGTAAATTCCAGTCTCTGACATCCCACCTTGCAGAACTGTAATTAAACATTTTGATTTTTTTCGCTTCAGGTTTTATTGTCATAGTCCAACTGCATTTTTTGATGGACCTTCCAGTTCAGTTGAGAGAATCTGGGAGCTCGTTCAAAACTCAGCTTGACACTTTCCATTGTGTGTGTCTTCAGTACGTGTATTTATGTGAGCTTTGGGGGCCTACTTACCTAGTAGGTGAGAGGAGAGAAACTATTCTCTGTGACTTTGAAGAATTATTCCAGAACTTTAAAAGCCATTCAGGCTGTAACAGCTCCCGGAAAGAGTTTGCTCTTGTTTTTTTCTGAGTTGAGCAGTTGCTTTTTTCTGTCATAGTACAGACGTGGAGCTTTTCAAGATTTTCATACTTCTAACTTCCTTCTGTAAGGAAAGACATGCAGAGGTTTCTGAACCGGTGGCCTTTTTGTCAATATAATATAATCCACATCTATTGCAGGATTGTGTGGTGTATGCTAATTTGAAGATGCATCGATGCAGCATGGATTACAGCTTGTGCAACTGGCTTTGACTACTCCCAAAGGTGTCCCAAATACACGCGTAAAGCCCTCATTTTGTGCTGCCAAAGCAGCAACACCCAGATGTGCACTTCACCATAACAGTGGTGCTCCCTAAATACCAGAGCTGTCAGTGGAATACAGTATGCATCAATGAACCTGACAACCTGAGGAGTATGCAAATGATATATCTTGGAGGCAAATATGCTTCACTACCACGCATCATACACATCATATCACACAGACATGCACAAATGGATAGGTGCTCACACATGCAAGCAAGCGCACACACGCAGACACACACATTTATACGCACAGTGGATTGCACAACTATAGTTGCCATGCTCAGATAAACAGGTGTCCTCACATGAGCACTCACAAAGATTCACAAACAGACATGCACACCTCTAGTTGTGGTATGGTAGTTTGTGTGTATGCTGACAAAATTGATGTTCATAAAGGTTCTGAGAAAGTTTGGAAATACCATGCTAGCTAAAAAAGGTAACATTTTATGGAAGAAAAGTGTGCTCACAGTAAAACAATTGTTGTTGAAGCATTTATAGTTACAATACTGAAAGAAGTTGAAGTGATAGTTAAAATGGAAGTGAAAAAGTTTCAGTTTAAGTTCAGGCACTGATATGAATACCTTCAGGATGAATGATTTTTTTACATGAAGCTGAGGCTTTTCTAAACAACAAATTACTAGAACTCTAATAGAATAGAAAAATAGTACCCATATTCGGTTTTACGGAGCAGCATAGATCAGTCTTGTATTCCTGCTAGTGCGCACTTTAAGAAAACAGAAGCCTTTGTTTCACTTTTTTCAGTTTACTCAAGCTTGTCTCCTTGGCAGTGACAGTTCTTCCTGTCAGGGATTTAAATCAGCCCTTGTTTGTCCCTTTGGGCTACAGGACGTGAGGACTTTGAGGCCGGTGAATCGCTATTGGGGACAAAAATGTCTCTTTCTGTATTGCTGGTGTTGACTAACCTCTTAATTAGCATTGATAATTAGTTCTCAACGTGTCAGTGTAGTGACAGGACCTGTCAGTGGCCCATATTGATGGCTTGAATGTCCCCTTGCTTGTCTCCTTGTTAACTCCCGTCTGATCTGGACGGCATTCTCCGCGTGTCTTGTCCATTTTACCACTGGGGGCCTTGTTGTCTGATTGTCACCTTGTCTGTCTGTCTGCCAGGACCAGGCACAAGGGACATAGCCGCTAAATGCCGTGCTGACAGTAAACAGCTGCAGTAAACAAGTAATAATGTCCCCTTTGTCTCGTGTGCCTCGTATCTCATCAGTGCCTAAGCTGGCGTGCCCTTGAGCCATGACAATGACCTGCTATTGATTAGACAAGACCGTTAAGTGTACCGAGATGTTAAAGAATACACCTCAGACACCTCAGTGACAGGCAGGAAAGTTGCTGACAGGCTGCATACTTTGAAGTGCTGTGTTAAGCTGGCACATACACCTTCATGACCTTTCTGGATCACATAATGATAATGCTTTGAGATACAGTTGATGATACAGTTTAAACAATATTGTCAGTATCAGTCTGTGTGTTCATTCAGAAGAGGCTGCCTAAATGTGGACTAAAGCAGCTGAAGGTTTTCTGAACATTTCCACTACCACCCACCTCTGTAATCCAAGCTGCAGCCCACCGACTGTTCCCTGGCTCTCGTACACATCAATTCCTGCTGCAGCAGCAGCCTTGTTCCAAACCCTACGGTTTCCCCCGGCAGCGGGCCAGACAGCAGTCAGGGCATCCTCTGTGTCTCCGACCATTCACCTCATGGATGAAGTTCTCCTTCAGAAGCTGACCGTCCATCACAAAACCTCCTGTAATAGACGGTGAGTCGTGACAAGCCAAGCTGAGAGGCCATCTGCGCACGGTGGGGTCCGGGAGATATTTTGGTCGCTGAGCGTGCCTGGCCAAAATGCTCAGGACTGGCACGAGCTCTGCTGATGAAAGAGAACAGAGGAAAACACCAAAAACTTTCTTGAGGTCAGAATGAAGACGTCAAGGATACATGGGGAGTGTGTGTGTTTATGTCCTTGTGAGTGAATCCGTGCATCATCTCTATGTACATTCAAATCACATGTGGGTTATGCTATATGTGTCATAGGGATGGGAATGTCAAGTCTGTCCGGCAGTCGATCGGTTAGTTGGTTCACTGAAATATCTCAACAATGTTTGGATGGATTTCCCCTGACTTTAAATCAAGCACCACCAACAGGTCAGAGTTTTCACTTTGACACATATCAATATCTACATATCAGTATCTACCAAATTAATTCCCACTACATTTGCTCAAAGCACAGTGTTGCTAACATGGCTGAAGATACTTTCACACAGAGATCCCGCAATAAACGCGGAAAGAATGTCCACCAATATGCTGCATTCGCTCATGTATACTGATCAAAATATTGCAACAAAATCCTACAAACATATGTGCTTTCACATAGCGATCCGGCTTTCCGGGTTAGAATGTGAAAAAACAAACACAGACGTCTTTCCGGCTCTGTTACTACAAATATGCGTTGCTCAGTGGCAGATCAAATATGACCCCCCTTTCTGGCTCTGTACCTTTCACACAGCACAGCGATCCAGCATATTGGCGAACTAATCCTGGAAAATTAGACAGTGTGTTAGCGCCTTTTGTCATATTCAGAACTATTTTGCATTAAAATTAGCATGAAAGCAAATTTCAGAAGGACGTAACCTTAGTTTTATCTCAACCTAATCAGTATCATCAGCTAGCAGTAATGAGATAGACTGTGAGGCCCATCCACACACACACCCACACACACACACACACATACACACAGCAAGTCTGGCCTGATGCAGGACTCACAGACAAACAACCAGATGGGATGTAAACAAAGACTCTGGAGTCGTGTGGAGAGCGATGCCATCAGCCTGCCGGGTGAAGAATGAAGTCCTGTGCAGACTCCTAAATATACGCAAAAGCACACCCTCCACGGCCAAGGTGACAGACTTGCTGCTGAGGGCCTTGCTTGCATATTTACAGGCCTAACTTACCAGGTATACCCTTGTGTGAGTGGGAGTGTGCGTGTGTGTGTGTGTGTGTGTGTGTTGCTTGAGGTGTGACAAACTTCAACACCTGAAGGATACGCCCAGACAACCTGTTCAAACAAAGAATGGATGTTTTACAAACAACAACATTTGGACAATAGATTTTCACCTTTGTAGCAACCAGGATTTATGTAGCTCAGGCCGTTCTGAAGAACATTTTGAGAAATTAGACAATAAAAATGACTGAATCTCCATCTTTAAAATTTTTTTTCTATTTGACAGTTGTTTCCATCACACGGTTGTGACAGATAAATAGTCCAGTGGCTGCAGATGACAGGCTGTATCTGAGTATCAACAAGGTAATGACAGGGGAAAGTGACAGATTATGTCTCTGTGTTGCTCCATCATGCTCCAGCCTGGTGAAGAATGGAGGTAGCCAAACATCAATGCCTTGAGATAGGGAAAAACCTGTATGTTTTTGTTTTGTGTTTGTGGGATCTATATGAACAGGATGCACGTACATTTGGTGTAGATGGAGGATGATGGAATAAGGACGATGGACATATGTCAAAAGGGGTGGATAGACAGATTGGCAGCTGATATTGATGGTGTTTTTCAGTCCACTCGCCTCAGTGCCTAGATGAAATTTACTTCTGTTAGCGACATTGTTCTTATTTATCTGTATTTACTTTATCCTCACTCTTGTTGATTAGAAACATTGTTGGTATTCTGCGGTTCCTTACTTCTTCATTATCTGAACCTGATTGTTATCATTACTTGCTTTGCTAGCCTAATGATCACAGGCTTAGCAACAGCACATAGACGCTTAGCTGTTTTATAAAAGAAGTGAGGTTATTGATATTGTCCCTAAAGTAGTGAGGGACAATTGGGCAGGGGAATGATGTGTGTGCTCACCTCTGAATTTAAATAAGGCCTCAGTGTATAAGTAATTGCTTTCGTGTGATTCATACCAGCATCATGCATTTGGCTGACGTGAGTGAAATGCAGTTGATTTAGCCTCACTTAATTCAGAACGCTGTACCTTGAGGATTTACACTGCTCATTTCTCCAGTCGCCAGTCGCTAGTCCCTTGTTATTTACTGTACCTCACTGAGTGTGTTAGTGATGACAATGTGGATGTTTTGAAGGATTTTTTTTGTATTACTTTATATCAAACATTTCCAAAATCTAAGTGGAGATTTAATGGTTTGAATGTGTCATGCAAATATACATCACAGATATTTAAAATTATGAATTTCTTACATTTGTGTTGCACCCTCTTTCTAGATTGTCTGAAACAGTAGGTTACTTTCCATCTTTTCCCCCTAGAATCAGAGCACTCCTGTTTTTTCTTTTATCATTTGCAAAGATTCATAGACCTTTTTTTAAAACATTTTTTTTAGAATAGCAGTGAAAGCACAGGTAATTATTAACAGCAATGATAGGTCCATTCCAGCAAATATTGCTAGTTGTTAACTTTGTCTATCTGCTGTTTGGTGCTGCACAGGTAGCATGGGTGGGTTTACCAAAGCTTTTTAGCTAAAAACAGCAGCCTGTTAAGAGCTGTGAGAGTGAACCAAACCGTAAAGTTACGTGTCATAAAACAAAGCAAAGAGATAATTCTTAGTGCAACTTTAAATTCCACTCCACAATGCAATGCAATGGCTCTGCGCCTCTCCAAAGAGGCCACCATCCAGTTTGGAAACCACTGATCTACAAATGTTTTTAGTGATGTTACCTGAGACTCATCCAAATACAGTTGGCTTTAGTTCCCTGTCCTCAAACATGAAACTAGGCAGGACCACTGATCTAGGAAATGTTTTAAGCGATGTTACCTGAGGCTCATCCAAATACAGTTGGCTTTAACTCCCTATCTCCTCAGACATGAAACTGGGCAGGAATGTGGCTCGAACCTTCCTGGATTACTACAAACTCAACAACCTCATCAAGGACAACAGACCAACTTACATTCACAGGTAAAGAAGTAATGCATTATGAAAAAACAATTACGCCATTAAATAAATATTCCATGTATGATTTTGAATTTACGTGTCTATATTCGAGCACATGAATGTACTGTTGTTTTGCTATTTCCTGAACTATATTGTACCGTTGCAGTCAGTCATTAATTTTAACATGTTTTTATCTCCAGCCCTGAGGCGAAGTCCCACACAGGTGACGGAAAAGGCAACGGTGTTGGCAGAGACGCAGCAGACAGAGAGAGGGAGAAGAGCCAGGGTGTCAGGCACTAGACAGACAGCATGTATAAAATGCGGAGCACCTTAGCAGGAGGACCCTTTACACTTCATTGCCTTTAGAAGCTCCACATCTCCCTGGCTATAAATACTTATTTGACTATAAACTATCAAATGTGTGACATGCGGACAAAAAAAATGCGGACAATTGAAAGCCAAGGAAAGACACACTGGTCACACATCTAAATTCCATCTGAGGCCTTCATTCAGCGGCTCCTTTTTTGTTTATACTGTTAAATAAATGCACGTTTCCCCTCAGTTACTGTCTTATTTTTTATTTTAGAACTTCATTGGATGGTTGTTATTATAACTAGTCATTAAACATTTAATTAAAATGTTGTGCCTGTTGCTCTCTGAGAACATTAATGACTGTTTTTATATAACTGAGATCTAGGTTATCCATGCCTTTATCTCCTCAAGAATCGACTACTGCAATGCTCTGGTATTATTCTGGTAGTAGTAAGAGAAACATTCATAGACTACAGCTCATTCAAAATACTGCAGCCAGGCTTCTAACTCACACTAAGAGGAGTGACCACATCACACCAATCCTTGCTGCCCCTCACTGGTTACCTGTGAGTTTTAGAGTTGATTTTAAGATTTTACTACTTGTTTTTAAACACTTATATGTATGGCGTTTTTATAAACATTATATTATTGCTGTTATTGTTGTATTATTTATTGTTGAATAACAGTTAAAACATTTTTAATTAATTTATATTTTTAAGTATGGATCTCTTTTGTTTTTACTGTACAGCACTTTGTAACGTGGTTTTGAAAAGTGCTATACAAATAAAGTAATTAATATTATTATTATTATTATATAAATAACATATTGATAGTCTCTATCAGACGAACAGTGAGCTCAAACGTGTGCGCAGAGAGAGCTTTTGATTGGCCACTTCTTAGTCACATGACTATACATCCGCTCTGTGACTGTTGCTGTTTGGCAGCTATGACAACAACTAACTTTGAAATTTGTATTAATGGCTTCAAGGAAGAAAAAGCTTTCCTCCTCTAAAGTGCACCAGAGGTCTCTGAAATGTACTGTATACCTGGACATTCAGACAGTAAGTGCGTCCTGGTACTATAACTTAGATTAGTTTACGTAAATTAACGTTAGCTACTGAGTTTACATCCTGTTCCCTTTACAAATGTTTCATTAACGTTCCCCAACTAACTTAACATTAACGTTAACGGCCTTAACTTGGAAGTTAGGTTGAGTTATCCTGATAAATAGTTTTAAATGTCGTCAAACGTTCATTTATTTTACCAGTTTGATCCACTTTGGTCTGTAAGTTAAACCGTTAGAGATGATGATGACGTCATGACAAGACGTTTAAAACAAAATCTTAGCTAGCTAGCTAACAGCTGCAATATTCAGTCATCGAAATAAAAAATAAAAATGTTTTCGTGGCTTTGACATGGCTGGCATTGGTTAATAATGGGGACAAAATAAACATATATAACTAAGGTTAGTGTATTTTTTTTTAATTGTTTGTTTAACTGAGATGTTTGCTGTCTTTCTCCAGTCACTAACGTTAACTAACAATATGTCCTTAAACATATGCTAGAAATTTTGATCCAAATGTGTGTAAATCACAGTTAAATGACACCCCCTTTGACTGTAACGTTACACATTTTCTACGTTATGTTATCTACGTTATGTTACCTTTAACGTGCAGTAACGTTATCTGTGGAGCAGTTGTAAGGTGATTTGGTCTCATTTCTACTTGTCAACGTTATATCAAAGTAATTCAACTTAATTAGTTTTGCAGGTTTTTTATTATCCTATTTGGTAGCAGTAAGACCTACTTCCTACTGTTATGGATAATTTCTCAGAGGACTGTACTCCTGTGTCAACTTTTAAGCACAATGATGCTACAGCACCCACTCATGCTGTCATTATGTAGGCTAAGATACGTGCGTCATTTTGAACAGGGCTCAATTATTTCTGAAAATGTTTTTTGTGTGTGTGCATGGAGAGCCTTTTTTTGTCAAAAGATGGAAGAAATCTGCCAGTAAAGGACACATACAACAACTAATGCCTGACCTGTCACTGCAGTCACCTAATTATACTGTTTGTGCCCAGGTCACATGTCCAGGAGTGCTCCTGTCTAAAAAGTATGACATTTACCTCAGTGTGTGTATAATGGGCCAGTACAGGAAGACCCCCTGTTTGCCATCTGTGTTCCCCTTACACTTCCACCACAAGATGGCATTTGTCAAGGTGAGAATTATAAGTATCTATTAAAAGAATAAGCACCACTTCCATCATAAAATGTAAAATTGCCTTCTTTTTTTCATATTTAGCGAGAGAGATGGTGGGAGGACTAGTGGCATATTTTTCAATATCAAAAAGGGGTGCATATCTCATGTCTTCGTGTCACATCACAGGCCTGATGTTGACTCCTACTAATACCAATACATTATACCTCCATCTACAAAAAAGACACTAGTGGTAAAGAAATATCCACCCTAGCAGTTGTTTTCTTTTTATTTGTTTTTATTTAAATCCTTCGACTTCTGTGCTGTTAAACAGCAACCCTCAATTTTGAACATTACTGCCCCAACTCCTGAAAAAAGATGCCTTCTTTTCCCTGGGGAGAATGGCAGAGTTAGAATCCAGGCAGTCTGTCTCATCTTGTTATAAGTATTGATTTACTTTGTGTGTACTCTGTCTGTTTTACCAGACTTTCCCCGGCGTTGTTGACCCTGCTGATGTAGCTGACCTCCTCGAAGGTAAACGGCCGTCTGGGATTTGCTTCCTCATCTCTTCGTCCTGAATCTTCTGCTATGCAAGCGTATAGGCTATTAGCTGTGATACTGATCATTAGCTCACAGTCTATTTGTGCTTTCCTTCCTCTTAGCTGACACAACATGTTTTGAGCTGATTCAGTTGGTGCCTCCAGGTATGCTTTCTGATGATGCCATATGGGCATGTTAAGTCCCAACTGTATGTAGTCATTACACTGCAAAAACAGGATCTCTAACTTGGATTGTGTGTATGTGTGTGTTTCTGTTTTCTATCTGTCTGTGTATGATATTTAGAGGGTGAGATCCTAGCCACGATGGAGGAAAGCAGCAGAGATTTCTTGTACCCTGGTCCGAGACTGAGCTCCAGAGAAGGAGCTGCAGAGAGAGAGATACTACTGAAGAGATCCTCCTCCTTTCCTGTAGGCAGTTTTCCAGTTATTTCTTTTTATTTATTTCTTAAACCTCCTTACAACACTTGCACCCGTATTCATCTAACTTCTAAGAATTACACTAGAGAAAGCTCTAGAGAGTCAACTGAGGAGAAAAAAGTTATTCATCGAGTGTGAGCGATAGGATACATTTATCAAGTGACTTACTCCAACTGACAACTTTTAAGTGCAGGTGATCACATGATTGATCACATGTATGCTCAGAGAGGGAATAGCTAATCAGAGATATGTATTTACCCTACATCTGCCATAGCATACATTCTTAAAAAAACAGTTCAGTTTACTCACTGGAATGTTTTCTACAAATATGTATATATTTTAAAAAACTATTTGGACAAAAATAATGGGAAATTGGCTGAAATTGATACCAAATTCTTCTGTTGGCAGACGAGGTACGTCAGAGAAATAGTATAATCAGAGAAATGTTTACCACACTGACAAGTGCTGACCAATTAAGATGCTTGCAAACAAAATCAATGCCAGACTTATTCTTGTTGTTTACACCCCTGATTAATGCAAAAATTCAAAGTGAAAGGAGGGATGTCAGTTAAAAAGTTGCTCACATGTCACAATGACCCCACACTGTGCTCGTCATGTGATTCCGCTTGATTGGCACCAATATTACACTTGTCATTCCGAGACTGGAGAAGATTGTTGGTCTCTTTAAGTGAGTCTCCTCGAAATCTCTTTGGCTGTGCATGACAGGCAGGTACACTACCAAGATAACCGATTCAAAAGCACTGTCTTGTCTAATAGAAAGTGAAGATAGCATTTTCCTTATAGAGCTGTCGACTGTCTTTGCTATACAGACAGAAAAAAACTAAATGGAGAACTTCCTCTCTTTTTGTCATGTCTGCCTCTTTCTGCCTCCTCTTATATCATCACTTTCTCTCCCCACCTCCTACTTTCATTCCTTTATCTCTCTGCCACTGTGGGTTTGCTTTTCTACCCTCCACTTGTATTCCAAGGCACTAACTGACGTATTGAAATGTCTTTAAACACCATTCCCCTCATCGTTGCTTTTATGTGTTTGTGTTTGAGGCCTACATAGCAATTTAGATGTCTCCCTCCAAATGCCATATTATTTAAACGTCACTGGAGACTTTCTCTTTTCTGCTATTTGTTTTTCTCAAGCCAGGCATAGATTGAGGATTTGTGGTTGTAAATTGTTGTTCCAAGCAGCGCTGTTATCTGTCCCTTTGTCTTTGTCTCCCTGTTAAAGATGTCGTGTGTGTTCCTATTGTCCCTCTCACTCTAGGGAATCTCCCCCAAAGTGGAGTTTGCCACAACATCAGTCATAGAAGAGAGTGATGGAAGGGACAGCTGGCTTGTCTCACCTGTAAGTGTGTCCTTTATTACATTTCGTCGGTCCGTGCAGAACCACACACACTGTATGTTCAATTTCTTTTTAACATTTGTTGTACATTTGTCTGCTTTTGATTTATCTGCTTCATGTCTGTTGTTGATCTGTAAAGGAGCCTGTTCTTTATACACACATTTTGTTGTCTGTTCAAGGTCTTTTCTGAACAGCTTACACAAAATGTAAACAGTTTAAATCCATCAAAGTGCCCCAGACAAGTAAACTGTGTGTTTATCTGCCTGCGTGACAGTTCAAAATGTCAGGAATTTGAACACATCACAGCTACATACTCAGCATTACTGTGTAAGTGTTGACCAAAGGTAGAACTGTGAACAGTTCATCTCCAGAGGCCTCTAATGAGTGGTATCGCTCGCCATCAGATTTGTCTGTTTCCCCCATACATACCCATTTTCTATTGTTGCCATGGCTACTGCATCTATCTATCTATCTATACTGGCAGTGTTTCAAGGGTATCTGTTCTCTCCTTGTGAATGTAATTACGGAGAGGCAGATCTGTGATGCTGATAGCGAGGCTTCTCTCACATCTCTGACTAGCTGGGAGTTTACACAATTTTTGTGACAGAACCAACCAGTCCGTTTTAAAGTCTTTTTTTTTCCTACCTTCTTTCTCTGTCTCTTCTTGTCTTTGTCTGCGCACGCCCAAGTTCTGTTTTATGACATGTTCACATCCACTGTTGCAGTATTCTGTATAAAGCTGAAACAGTTGATTAATCAATTAGTAGATTGACTATTTTGACAAATGGATAATTGTTTTTCATTTTTCAAGCAAAAATCCCAAACATTCTCTGGTTCTGACAAGCTTTGAGGATTTTCTGCTTTTCTGTGTCCAAATTTTGGACTGTTAGACAAAAAAGCTATTTGTTGACATCACCTTGGGCTTTAGGAAATTGCGATAATTTCTCAAACGATTAATTTAAACATAACCATCATTGATAATGAAAACAATCTTTTGTTGCCCCCACCCTTCAATTTTATCTACTCCTTCATGGTCAAGTGTGAAACTGCATATGTGTGTGAGGTGTGTGCAAAGGTAATCTCAACAGATGGATACTAGGAGGGTAGAATAATGCTCCAATTCAAGACTGAAAAATCCCCAGTGAGAATGAAAATTTTTCACAAACAGTCGTGTTTGTAACATATGATCCATCAGACAGCGGTTGGCATGTTGTGCCAAAAACACTATCCTATGCAGTAACCTAAGCTAAGCTATTTGTTTAAATGGGATGTCATTGACAGCGAAGCAGATTGTCAAGAGTGTTCTCCTGGCCCCTCAGGGGGATGTCTGGATCAGAGCACCGCTGTGGCTGTCAGACAGTAGAATTTCTCCATTTTCTCTCTCCTAATGGGACTTCAGCATAGGCATTTCCCTGACTGCCTTCCCGCCCAGCTGACAAACCGTGTTCTGTTTTATTAGAGATTTAGCGTGATAGCAGCTTCCAGAAAGCCTCTGAAACTGTAGGGATGAATAGCCACACAATTTTTGGGCAATGTCTTGCCAAAGATTAGATTTTTAGTGCTATTATCTTTTGTTAATTGTTATCATTCTCACTCTCAATCTTATAACCATTTTAATCTAAAGTAATTTTTAGCCATGCTAGCAGCATGCTCTAACGGTGGCGGTGTTGGTCCGTCTGTCTCTCAGCTTGTCAGTCCAACACTCCAGACTGAAATATCTGAACAATTGTTGGATGGATTGCCATGAAATTTGGCATCCATGTTCCCCTCAGGATGAATTGTAATCACTCTGGTGAGGCTTTTCTTCTAACATCATCTTCTGGTGAAATGTTATTGTCAGATACTTTGGTTTATGACCACTTCGTGTTTAGTGCTAATTAAAAAATGTTAGGATGCTAAAATTACACCTGTTTAGTGTCAGAATGTTCACATTGTCAAGTGTTTTAGCATCATGGATGTGATCAGCAGGCTGAAGTTAGCATTTAGCCTAAAGCACTGCCATGCTGCCTCATAGAGCCGCACGCATGGCTGTAGAGCCTGTCTTGCTATTATTTATCCCAGGCATTGTTGAACAGTGTCTTTACCACACAATACCAACAGTGGAAATACCAGCTAATCACATCAGACAAGCCTTCATCACTCAGCTGGCAACCAGAAAACTGACTAACTCTCACTGGCCGCTCAGCTCAGCGAAGGACAGAAGAGCTGAAAGAAGTCAAAAATGGCAGTAGATGTGGAGGTGGGAGAGTATACTTTGCTTAATTCCATTAAATTATACTGTTCTCAAATGGCAACCTCGATGAGGATTTATTCATCATTTAGTTTTTCTTAAAAATAGTTTTAATGTTGTGATTTCCCTTATTAGCATTTAGATTATCTTTGTTTTACAGCCAGGTAATGCCTCTTTATCATATTAGACTGGAGATGGCCATCAAATGCAATTAACATTTTATCTTAACGTATTTATCCCCGCTTGGCATTACCCGCAGGAAGTGGGATATTGCACCGGAGAATGATGTTAGTGGCCATTAGAGTTATTGAAGTAATTCTGTAGAGGTTGTCTCCATGGCAGTGCTGACTGCGAGAGCTGTTGTTGTAACACTTAAGCTGAATGATTTAGCTAATAGTTTAATGGTTTTGTCCAGGGAGAGCAAGTCTGCGTCGAGAGCGAGCAGCTGCCTTAATGGCTAAAATGGCTGGCGGTTGTATAAAGGAACAACATTGTGGTCTGCAGAGAAATCTAAAATGCTGAGACAAATGTAATGTGTCCCCTCAAAATGGAGACCTGTGATGGTTGCATGACATGGTTAGAACAACATATCAACACTTTTCTTTCTCTCTCTCTGTCTCATATTCTGTCCCTGCACCCCCAGACTTGCTGTCTTTCTCCAGTGAGGCTATCATTAACACCACCCAGACAGAGTTCAGCAAAAAAGTCTTTGCCATCCAGCAGCCATTTTTCCAAAATAGATGATGCGAACTTTGTCTCTTTGAATGGTGGGGACGAAAAGTTAAATGTTGAGGCCGGATTTACAAACTCTCCGTCCTCAGCATCCAGACGCTCCCCTTTTTCATCCCCATCTGGCCGCATGCCCCAGAAAAACAAGAAGGAAAGAAAACTGCCTTCTCCGAGAGCTTCTGTAGACTCTGGCTACCAGCAGCCCACAGTTTCCTCAAGGACACGAGCCTTGTCACCTTACACCCACCGCAAGATGTGCCAGCTTTCAGAGGACGCCCGACAGAGGCTCAGCCACCTCCAGCTGGGGCCTCACCACTTCAGGAAGGAGACTGAGAGCCAGCCGCCCTTCTTGGTCAGTAACATTAGATATATTGCTCCAAACTGAAGTCAATTGACTAAAAAAAGTGATATAATGGTTTACAATAACAACAATACACGTGTTCAGTGGACAGGGGTTCTAAAATTAATTGGATCCTGAATTGATGTAAGTCAAACCTCAGTGGGAGCTTCCCAAAATTTGACATCATCAAGTGGCCAGATTAAGTAGACAGCATTATAAGAGTGCAGTGTTAATCTTTTTACCAGAGCCGTTAATGGATTTTGACGTCATAAAAATGTTTGACTATTTGCACATGTAATATGACCCATTGTCCTCACTGATGGGCTTGAGTGTGCTTTAAAAGCACATGTCTGGGATTTAGGCTGATACACATTTATTTGTTAACACTTTAATTATGGCCGTATCACCACACTGACAGATTTTGCATGTAAAAGGGGGTGATTTTCTGATCACACTGCCTTGAGGAATATACAGTTGAGAATAACACAACCTCTAGTTCTGTGTCACTCCCTCCCTCTGCTCCCCACTGTATTCCCGCTCATTCATTTGCATCAAATCCAATCCTGAATTATGAATATCAAAATCTACTAGCATGCTGTTATTAAAGGAAATGATTAGGTACAGAGTTGTTGGTTTTTGTCTCACACCTGAATGGAATTTACAGGAATACAATGGGCGTTTTATTAGAGAGAGGAGCATGTTTTTCCCGCTCTGGGGTTCCTGGGGGAATCTTCTGTCGACAATTAACCCTGGTAATTGAGAGTCAAGCTGCAATTAACAAATAGATACCTAATGAAGTAGCTTAGCCCCATGGTGAATGCATTATCAGTGCATGTTTCAGAGCCTCGGCTCCTTGTTTGTTTGCGTAGAGTGAAGCACATTCTGACCCCAACCTATGTTCTCTGAGACAGATCCTTATTCTCTAAAAAGCTTGTCTTCGTTTTCTTTATACCTTATTTGTCTTTATGATCATCTTGGTCAAATGATTTGGTGGTGATTGACAAATGGAACAACATTTGTTGGCAGTTTTTTCTTTAGTCTGCACAAAATAAGTAAATGAAAGGAGTAATTGTGATGAACATTTTTTGTCGTGGCATTTCTTATTTGAAGTCGGTAGATTGTGTGGTTGATTAATTTATCAGTATCAGGATTCTGTTTAAAAGTGAAGAATAAATAGCTAAACAACCTCGCTGTGCATGGGTTTTACCATGTCGATGAAATCCTTCATACTACAGCAGTGTTAAGGTTGTGATATTGTTTGACAGCAGATTATTTTTCTGCTGTGTTTTGTGCCAGGTCTCTCTTTGCAGCAGTGTGTCTGGGATGGGAACTCCTTTCTCCTCTCCACAGAATGGTAGCACGCATCGACATGCTGTCAGCTTCGCGACTGATCACATAGGTAGGCCTTAACGCTCAATGCAAAAACAGACACATGTACACACATAAGGCCATGCTATACTTAAATGCTGCAGAATTAACTGTTTGCTATTGGTCTAATATATCAATATTTGTTTTCTTGGTAAAATGTGCCTTTTTTCTTTTCTGGTTTGATGCCTTTGATTGCATCTTCATGATGACATGGTGAAGACATAACTGGGTTGGTGAGCTTGTTTTAGGACATCAGCAACAACTGATAAAATTGCTTTTTTATTGATTAATTGAAGTGCAAAGCTACACTTGTATTTTTCATTGTAGATTCTTCTCTCCTGGGGAGTTACAGACCAAGAACAGCCAGAGTAAGTCTAATTAAAACATTTCAAACCAACAAATGCAAACAGCTACTGTTTTGATTCAACACAGTAGCATAGAGGTAACTGTTCAGATATCGTGTAGGTTGCTTTGTAGCCATGATACAGTGTCACTGTACGTACACATACTGCTAAACCAGACTTGCCAAATTATATATTCACACAACTGGCAGTGTTTTTATATATATATGATCAAAAAACATTTTTCAGCAACTCTCAAGGACAAGACTATAACTAGTTAAAACTATCACCTGACTCGAACCCTGTTGCACTGCGACCTCTTCCAGGTGAAGTCAGGTTCTGTGAGGGTCCAGTTGTCTCCAGAGCCACAGTCCAGACTTGAAGCCCGGACCAAAAGCCCTGTGAGAGGTGCTGCCCTGACCGTGGTAAACTCCAGAAGTCCTCTGAACCTCAACCATTCCCTCAGAGAAAGGTAAAATCTCCAGAGGATGCAACCTTTTCCCCCAACCTAACCTTGAAACTATTAGAAGCGTTTATCAATCTTTTAAATGTTTGTAATATGAAGTAGATGTGTTCAATTAAAAACCAACTATCAAGGACCAAAAAGCAGATAAATCCTCAAAGAATAAAAACTCTAAAATTTCAGTGATTGAATTCTCTCACATCAGAATCAGACACGGATGACATTTCTCTTGTCTTGTATTCTTCATACTCGTCATTTATAACCAAGGCCAAAATAACTAGTTGGCGAGTTGCAAACTGTCGGATGTCACTGTGTGTGTGTGTGTGTGTGTGTGTGTGTGTTCACCACAACTTGGTGTTGTGGTGAACAAACACACATCTTCAGATGTAGATCAGTAAAACACTGTCAGGATCACCTCAGAGCCCCAAGGTTGTTTGTTTTTTGGCCGCAAAACCAGCTGATTCTCTTCACACTCACGCCAAAAGCAGAGAGAAAACATAATCCTTATTTTTGTGGTTTTTGCCCTGAATTTATCCTGATCCATCTGTGTAAATCGTTGGTGTTTGTCCAAAAGATCTTAAAAGCGAAGGAGGCACCTGTATGACTTTCCAATTATAGTATACGGCAAATATATGGTGATCCCATGAGATGGTAGTCATACACTGCCGCTGCTTTGTGTGTGTGTCTGTGCGTGTGTGTGTGTGTGAGCTCATAGACATCCAATCTTTAATTTTGATTACACGCGACAGGCAGGATGAATTTCCCTCCACCTCTTAAATTACAGAAGCTGATGTCTTGTCATGTTTGTTCATTACTGAGAGAGGAGGCAGAGAAAAGAAAAAAACAAAGAGGAAAATGGTATTGATTTGTGTTTCAGCTTGAGTCTGATGCATTTGACCTGATGCACGCTTTAATACATTCAGAGAGACCTTGTCATCGATCATGGCAGCTGTGAGTTAAACACACCGGCGGGACCGATGTTCCATTTTGTTTGTTTGTTTGTTTGTTTCTGTTCTCCTTCCCCTACTGCTCAGTCCATAAGTAAACATTAAAATCAATGGCAATCTTAAACTGCAAAGTAAATTGTAGGAAATTAATGATACTTTTCTCTCAATTGAAAACGCGACAGGAGTTGCAGGGTGGGAGATTAGAGTGGGCCTTTGTAGATTCCCTCTGACAGGGAGAGGGGCACGTCTCGCCACCAATCTTTGATCTATAAAGAAAATGACAGATGCCAGTGCTGACGTTTGCTCTCTAAGCCCCGAAGTCTCAGTCTATTCATGTCTCTGGATGATTTGTCCTTGATGACTTTCTGAAGCAGGTAGCGAGTTTATCTGATTACAGATGAAAAGCGTCCGTTCCCGCACTGCGAGCCAGGCCAAGACACCAGCCAGTCAGTCAGACAGTCATCACCCCTCCACTCCCAACAAATAGACTTGGATGAGAGGCAATACTGGAATTCATTACTGTTCACTTCTGTCTGTCTGTCAGGGCGAGCTTCTACTTTATAACTGCCCGCGGCCAACCTGCAGACACATTTATATTGTATTGATGAAGCACAGGTATGCTTCCAGATGAAATGCACGGTTTGTTAATAGTGAAATTACTTTTTTTGTTCAGTTGGACAAAAGGTTGAATGTAAAAGAATTAAAATCAAAAAGGAACATTTATTTCAACGTGTTTTAAGTATCTTGTCAAACACACTACACCTAAAGTGTGTTTCAAGTCAGGTAGTTTCAGCTCTCACATCTTGTGTTACAGCACAGACTAGTGGACAAAAGGAAAACCTGCTACAACATCTTGAAAAAAAACACGGGCATTGTTTTTGATGATTTAGAGCACTTTTAGTAATCAGCTATTTTTCAAGCAAAATGTGTTGTTTTAGATCACTGTAACGCATAACTTTGTGTAGCAGAAGAAAGAAAGGAGACCCCTCAGACTCATCTTTTGATGCTTTGTGGGGGTCCTGATCCTTAGTGTTAGAACCACTTGATTAATTCATAATGAAAATATTTTTTTCGGTTCAGCCCCTAATTTGATCACAATATTTTTTCCTATCAATACAAAGCTTTACATCTAGCCTAGATGGTGATGACATATGTGACTCAAACTCAGTTAATTGTTTATGGATTTTTAATGTGCCAATTCTTGGTGTTTGTTTTCCCTCAGACTACAGACCAGTCAACCCAGTCCATCCTACTGGGAGCAGATCCACAGCCGAGTCCAGCGGATTCTGCAGACACACAAACCCCCCTGGGACCACCAAGTGCCCTTTGACCTTTAATTTACTGATCTGCCTGCAAAGTGACCAAACAACTAAGGTTACAATACAGAGACTCTTCAATGTTAAAGCAGTCACTCTAATAATGTATACTTTAAATTTAAAGTTAAAATCAGATAGACTTTAACCTGCTGTATGTTTGAAGGAGAGGATTCAGACACACTAATATACCTTCTTAACCTCGCGATTTTATTATTCAGAGAATCTCAAACATGTATCTTTATTTATCTCCCTTTGATCATTTAAATTTCAAACCATCCCAAGCACCTGCTGAGCCGCGTTTGTCATCGTTACTCTTTGAAAAGGCAGCAAATTTGCAGGGGTTACGTTCAAAAGCATAACAGCACCACTTCCCTCCCACCCATCAACTGGGCCCCGATGGTGAAACCAAGCGGAGACGTCGTCTAATTTCTCTAAAGCCGTGTGCGAAATTGGCTTGAGTATAAAGAAGCAACATTTTTGTGCACGCATGGGAACGAGACATGGTGGATGTAAGCTGCAGCTGTTAAGGGCTCATCACTCGTAACACAAAAGAAAGACAAGAAGGTAGCCAAGAGCCACTGTAGGGAGCCAGCAGCTAAAAGAGACTGAAGAGATTTAAGAGTGTGAGCAGGAACAAAAGTAATCCTAAATGAAAGAGCAGGAGACACAAAGAAATCTAGCTTTAGCACAATTTCAGTTCGATAGTGTTACACTCAAATGTCTTTAACATTGAAAATCAAAACAGATAGTCAGGTCATGTGCTTTTTATAATGTACAGTTCATAGAACTTACATCTTGTATCAATACAATTAAATGTAGCTGTTCAGTTTTACATACAGATGAAATAATTTAATAGTGAATGATACTAAATATAGAAAATGTATTCCATTTTAAAATGAGGGAATAGGTAATACAGCGAATGATCACGTAGTTTCTGGTTTTCTTCAATGCAATGGGTACACTTTAAATGTGCAGCCAGGATGTAATTAATGGTAAAACTTTCTTTCACTCATATTGACCATGTGTCCATGTCCACTCCGAGCCAGAAGAGAAATGTCCCATCTCGTTCTTAGTCAGTCAGATAGTGCTGCTCACTTAAAAACACAAGTTACAACGCAAAATGTTTTCTCACAGACATTCAAAACTACCCAGCAGTGTCTGCAAATGGGTTTTGTTTAGCCGATTCTTGAACAGAGACAGTAAAATGTGTCTGGGGATGTAACTTTTTTTAATGTGAGCTACATGTATTTAAAATGTTGACAGTACATCAATGGTGATGGTACAGGACGCATTGCAGGACAAACCCTCTTTCTCTGAATGTGATGCGTTTAATAAAAAATTGGTGCCAGTCAAAAGAAAATTTTCATTTGATGCACGACATGAATCACTGATTACTTCGCACAAACAAATGTTTTTAAAATAGGTCCATTTGATTAAAAATGTTAGTTTCTGTTGTAAATATAAGCATGTATACATTTTTATAGTCACTGTACAAAGTATTTTTAATATGCTTACCAAATCAACTTGACTTGTATCATGTTTTTTTTTTGTTTTGTTTTTTTGTTTTTTAAATACAGTCAGCTTCTTCATGTACAGACATCTAAACATCTTTAGAGATGAAGGGTCTTGAATGAGCAGGATTCACTAACGTTTCATGTAGTCGTGTTTATGCTCCAACTTTCAACCACAACAACCCTCCTGCTGAAGAGCTAAAGTTGCGAATATCAGCATCTACAAAAATCAGTGTTAATCACTACAGGTCTTCAGATTTACTTTTTATGGAATTTCTTCTTTTTCTTGTTCCTCTTGCCGGCTCCTTGTGCTGCTTTCTCCGTCACAATGTGCTGGTACTTCTTTTTGTTGTTGCTGGTAAGGGAAGAGGAAAGTATATTTTTTAGATGTGCATTTGTTCAAAGTTGATCGACATAGATTTGGGGACCAAACATCATTACTTTGCTGAATTCTTCTGCACATTTTGCAGTAATAGATTTTAAACGTTTCTGACCCTATCTTAACATTTAGATAGGGTCACAAATGTGACCACAGACACTGGTTCCCTGTATAGATTTTTCTGTACATCAGTTAACGCATCACCTGTCAGTATTTGGTCACACAATCAGTCTCTTTCTTAGTTGAATCACTAGTGTCATAAGATGACGGTTCACAGATTTCAGTTACTAATAAATAATATTCAAGGAACCTACCAGATAGTGATCAGCAATATCAACGTGATCATATTTTGCTGCCGAAGCTAATCACCTAAGTGTTAGTGTGTACAAGACACATGATGGCCCACTAGTTTTACACACTCAGTCATACTCATAGTAGTCATAGTCATGCATATCATCACTGTACAAATACAGGAGGCACACCTGCATAAAAAGTAAAATCTATTCCTGCCAATATAAAAACAGCTGGTCTTGGTAAGCTATCTGTGGGAGTGGATTTTCTTTAGTGGACATTGAAGCCATGAAACCAGAGATGTGACATAATAAAGCCACAGTCTGTTGTCTTTGCTTTCATTTCAACTTACTGCCTGAATTCAGCATCGGCCAGCAGTTCCTCCACCATGGTTCTTTTCCTGTCCTTATTGGGAATGCGGGAATGATAGAAGTCAACTGCGCTGTCCACCACTGTGCCAACCTGTATCACATACAGACGCATAAAAGGTTACACACAAAAACTGTACTGAGCTTGATGTTGATAATCTATAATAATTCCTGTAAGTATTGCAGACTATATTAGGAGCTTGACTGCAGACTTCAGAAACTCCTCTTTAACTGACCTGAAAATACTTGGGAAACCCATCTCTGTCATTCTTTTTGTAGAACCTCTTGGGATCCATGGAGCCTCTCATCTTCAGGACTTTGAGGTCTCCTTTCAGTTCCTGAGAGATCTCAGGGGCTTTCATATTAAACCAACCATCCCCTGTTGATTTCTCCTTTTCTGCCTAGGAAAAACATTTCAATAGTTTAAAAAGGATTGTAGACTCATTTGAAGCCGTTTGTTTTTTGGGGTAGTATTTGTCCTCATAGCTGATTGCACAAACAATACATGTTTCAAGAAAGCATTCCTTTGTAAAACCTACTCTGTGTTTCAACTTTAAGGCTTGTTTAGATTCACTGTACGGAGGCACTGCATCCTTCTTTTCAAAGTCTGGTCCAATCACGCTCTTCTTCATCACCTGAGGACAACAACAAAAAAAAAAAAGATCTGCAACACTGCAAAGCAATACCTCTATGAACACCCCACTACTCTGAGATGAAAGGCCAAAGTCAAAAAGAATTACAGAGAAACCATGAATAACAGGTGTTCTGCAAGGACGAGTAAATCCAATAACTATAAAGTTCGTTATTCATTCTGCATCACAGATCACATTCAAAAGGGGGAAAAAATCAATCACTTATTTACCTCATCTTGGATCTTCTTTTCCTTTAGTTTTTGCAGCGAACTGGAGACAGGTTTTGATTTGCTGCCGTCAAAATTGATGTATAAACCTCCAAGCTCCTTCAGTCTGATGCCAGGGTCAATACGGCTGGACATCTCTTTCCTGAAACAAATTGGCACAGAGAACATTCCTCAGGAAGAGCAGTCATGTCTCATTTCTCACCTCTGCACACAGTTAGAATATATAATAATGAGTTTTACTGTCTATATATACACGCAGTTCTTAAAGTCTGGTGATATTTTTATATATAAAATCAAAGACGAGTGGATCCCACTAATAAGTACTTTCTGTGTAGCTGAAGCTTGTGTCACACTGTTACACGTTATATTACGATGAACGTGGGCGCGGTAGTTTATTTTGAATCAATCACAGACACCTCATCCTGCTGCCCAAAATGCTCAGGCACCAAAGGTGTATCAAGTCGTAGCTGAAATTAGTCACCAACTATTTGCTGTTCCTAACATTTGCTACAAACTACAGCGCCCATCTCACCATGAGGTTGCCAGTCAACCACTAAAGACTCCAGGAAGTCACTAATTAGTAAGCTTAGAGGTACTGATTCCCCCGTTTCTACACCTTTATGCTAAGCTGCTGGACTGTAGCTTCATGTGTAGCATACAAGCGTAAGAGTTGTATCATGCTTTTCATCTAACTCTGGATAAGAAATCTAGTAAGTGTATTCCCCAATATGGCAAATTATTCTTTTAAGTGGAATTGGTGACAATAGAGAAATATTATGTAAAGATTTATCTTTTAAGTTGCTATAATGAAGATGTACCAAGTAACAGAACTTAACATTTATATTTCTGATGGTTTTTCCTACATGAACCAATCTGAGGCTGCCAGCCGGCATATACTTACAGCAGAGGATTCCTACTCGAGAAGAGGATATTTGCATCTTCATCGTCGTCATCATCCCCCTCCTCGTCCACAAATTCCTCGTCTTGCTCCTCCTGCTCAGCTCGCTCATCCCCTGTGGCTTTTTCCTCCTCCTCTGTTGGCTTCTCCTTGTAGTAGTGTTCATCAGCGTCCTCTCCGGGTCGTGTGTCAATCATAAACAGTCCTTCAACGGATGTACCTGCTGCTCCAGACTTACTTGAAGGTCCTGCTCTCTCCTCGGCACTGTACCCCAAATCCTCTTCCTCTTCTCCAGAAACATCCCTCTCCTCCTCGTCAGCAGATTCATCTTCATCCTCGCTGCTCTCCAGCAGGCTGATTGTTTTCGTATTCTGGACAATGACGTCTTTAGGCTGGCGTTCAGGGCCAGACTCCACTGTGATCTTGTGCGGCTGGTTGGATGTTACCTGAACGGACTCAACATGGAGCTCAACCACCTGCTGAGCATCTCCATTCAAAGAGCTGACTTCCATTTTTTCCTCCTCACTAGGCCGGGGTTCCACAACAGCATCCACAGCCTCATGTCCCTGCGACGGGCGGGTGTCCACCTGAGCTACTTCCATAGCTTCCTCCTTCTCCTCGGTCTCCTCTGTGATTTCAGAACTCATCTCACATAATACTGTAACTGATTGGCAAGGCTTTGACGACTCAGATGGCACGATTGTTTCCTGCATCATTTCCATCTCCGAGGTGTCCCTGTGTCCCTTATTTCCAGCACACGGCTCCTCCCGCTGGTGTCTGACAGTCACTGCAAGTTTACTAACCGCTTCTTCAGCACAACCAGGACTGTCCGATACTAGGGAAGACATTTCACCTCGAATGGCAGTTAGTCCCCTTTCCACTCTTACTGTGTCTCTCTCATTTGATGTGAGATCAGCACTACTCAGACCTTCTTTCTCTTCCAGTGTTTGGCTCTTCTCTTCCTCCACCAATGTGCAGTCTGCGTCCTCATCGATTACCGTACTTTCTAACCTAGAATTGTCTAATGAAGTGTCTACCTCAGCTGGCTCCACAGCTTTTTCTAAAACGACACTAAGCTCCTTGACTGAGCGCCTGGAGACCTGATCACCTCGACTGCTGTTCCCTGAGCCTGTGCGGCTGCTGCACGGAGTCCCCCTGCTGCGGGTGGAGCAGGGGCTGCCAATCAGGGAATGCATGTCGGTCAGCTCAGAGTCCGAGTCCACGGCTTTGTGACCTGTGGACTGGGTCTTTCCCCGTCTTCGAGTCATCCTACTGTAAGTGGGGCCGGACTCAAACCCTTCAGAATCACAAGACAGGGGCTCGCTGACGTCTACAGCAGCTGCTGCCACCGCTCTTGCTGCCCGGCTCCTTCGAGAGGAAGGGGTAGGAGAGAGAGAGCTTTCCGAGGCTTCATCAAGATGGATGGGTATGGGACCGGTTTGCTTTCTGGATCTTGTAGATCTGCGGATGGTGGAAGCTCCAGCTTCGGAGACACTGGATGCACAGCTGTCAGCATCTGAGAGCTCAGAGTCCTCAGTTTGTTGTTTGGTAGATGACCTGGTGCGAGCAGTTTTTCTCTGACTTCTGGTGACTCTCTGGGATTCAGACACCACAGAGCTGCAGGACTCTGTGTCCAGCACCAAGTCCACCTCAACGCCTCTCGCGTGAGCTGGGTCAGAGCTTTCAGGAACGGCCTTCCTCCTTGTGCTCCGACGGCTACTTTGGCCAGCTTTCGATGCAGATACGGCAGAAGAGCATGATTCCACCTCAGACATATCCACATCTTCCTGACTCACTGTGCGGGGCTTTCTCCTCCTCCCCTTGGTGCGTGTCATTGGTGGTTCGATGTCAGACACCGCAGAGCAGCAGGACTCCAAGTCAGATATGTCCCCTTCGTGGGTGGAGCCCACAGGTGTGCATGGCTGCTCTGGACTATGGAGTCTGGACGCTCTGGTGCATCGTTTCATCGAGGACGTAGTTGGGGATGCCGGAAGACTTTTTTCAAGCTGGCTGCTTGTCTCCACAAGAGCATGCTGGGTAGGGCTCTCTGCTTGTTTAGCAGTGCGCCTGGTTCTTCGACCAGAAGGAGTGGCCTGTGAAGCAGAAATAATACAGTTAAAAGTGAAGTTGCTTCTACAGAAAGCCTGATCTAAAAGGAAAAAGGCAGTGATATGTTAATGTTTTCTTACTGTCTACAAATCCCATGAAAAGACTAAAACCAACAATGTGTTTGTCAATCTCTCAAGTCTTTCAGACCGTCAGCTCCAGCACTTTCAATTCAACTGTAGACATTAAAATGGCTCAAATACATTGCTTCATTAAGAAAAAAGGCAAAATTAATTCCAGCAGGGCACTGTGGTTTCCTCCCCCTCCAAGTGTTACTCACATGGGAGTTAGTAGTGTATTTGTTGGGGACTATTTTCAGCTGTGGATTAATACACATTTGGTGCTCCAGTGAGACTAGGTGCTTTCAGATCAAAAGCTAAGCGAGCGTTAGGGGCGGTGAGTTTACATACAAAGTCAATGCAAAGACACGTAGAGCCCTTTTTATATACAGTCTATGGTAGAGCCGCAATTTCCTGTCGGGCGCCGCGAAGGCACGCGAAGAAGTCGCATGACGCCGAGTCGCGATAGCCTATCAGTGTTGAGATTGTCCGTACGTCACCGAGGCTTCAGAGCGTTGAGTGGAGAGGGCCGGGCAGAGCGGGGGATTGAAGATCTGCTGGCCTGCTGAGAGCTGCTAAACTTGCGGGAGAGGAGCAGGGAGCAGCGCTGCAACCATTGGAGAAATGAACACCCGCAGTCGGTCGGATTCTGCTCTGACAACTATGCTGTTTACTCGCGGGAAGAACTCGGAGTTAACTGCTTTTATTAAATTAGCTTTTTACTTAAGTTTTTGGGATTTCAACGTTGATTTATCTTCACTGGAGCTTCTCAGCAGCTAGCTTCCGTGCACATCCAGTTCCAGTGTTGTTAGCGTCGTTAGCTCTGTCGGACTACAACTTCAAATTTATATAAACACCGGACAAAACTGGACATTACTTGGAAAAAAGAAAGTGAAGAGGTTGAACTACCTGGTGAGTTCAGAAAACACTTATCTGTAACTTTATTCCAGCGATCATTGTTCTTTACTGTGACCAAATTAGCATAGAATAGCCCTGATCGATCCAAACTCCATTCAGAAAACAAACATTTCAGAAGTTGTTGTCCTGCTGTCTTGCTGGCAGACCTGACAAAGCATGAATTCATATGTTTAACAAAACTGCATCATGTTGTAGTTATTTCGACATCAGATTAATCCGTTTATTGTTATTTCATCACAGCAAAATGTTTACTTTGGTTTCATACAGTTGTAGTAATGGCGAGTTGTGTTTATCGCGTTAAATTCGCCTTCTCGCGTTGTGTGTGAACACACTTGCAGCGAATGTACTCACGCGAGGAAAGCGTCGCGAGGCGAAAATTCGCGGTTGGTCTGAATGCGGCATAAGGGACTGACTGAAAATAAACAGTGGGTGGTCATAGTAGTGAAGGAAAATGACACTCAGTTATGGAATATAATGATCTCTATAGCAGAGAGGAATACGCTGTATCATAATTTGGCTACACAGACAATACTTGTTAATAGGTAGGAGGTTTTCCGACTTGTTAACTGGAACGCCGCCAACTCGGGTGTAGCGTTATTCCCAGTTCCGACCTCCGAGGTAAACGGAACGCAGCATAACTCATAATCTGAGGCTAAATAATTAAGTGCTTTGACTGTAATTAGTAAGTAGGACCGTAAAATCTACTTTAAGGATGATTTTGAGGACAGAAAAGGGGGATAAATGTTGTTTTTATATAATTTGGAGTATGTTGACTGGTTTAAAAGATCGCAACTGTGGTCCAATGAAAGCACGTGTGATTGATTCCGTATTTTAAAAACCCAAGCTAATTCAACAACTGAAAGCTGTGTTGAAGTTACACTTAACTCAAACAGGACTTCTGGACTCTGCATTGCGTGTAAGTTACTTGTCTAAAATACACAATGTTTTTTGTTTTCTTGTATATCTGCGTCTCCGCTCATCACAACATCGAAACGTTTACAAACTGACTTTGAGAAAGACCGACGGTGTCCACGTGAAGTTTGAGCAGCTGCATGCACCAGCTAACGGACACGTGACGGGCTTCATTCACCTCGGACTAAACCTTCACAGGATATATGAACATTTACGAATTTAAAAACACAACTCTTTTCTACGTACCTGGACATCAGAAGGCTGTTCTGGGTTTGTTTTACTTGGGGAGTACACGCGTACTCCTCTCCTGGTGGCCACCATCTTGCCTGCTGGCTGGCTCCTCTCTCACTTCCGGTGTGAAGGCTAGACTCAACTAATCGATGAACGTAAGCACGGTGCAGACGATCGCAGAGCTTCGATTCATGGGTCATTAATTGAATCAGCTTCAATGGTTCATTGTTCTCCCCATTTAAGTACAGCAGTAAAAAAAAAAGTCAATAAAAGTACAAATTATTAGTAAACGTACTTGTAAGTGTCAAGTGCTCAATGTAGAGAAGTGTCCTATGTGTTGTACACCTGTATATAGTTGTGTAAATGTTACTTACGGGATATTTCTGCAGTTGCCAAAAAAACAAAGACATTATGATATGTTAAACTTATTAAAAACGTATTTCCAATTAGACCTGTTGCATTTACTGGCTACACTGGTGTGGCTACACATTTTGACAGTTTAAGGCACGTCTTAATGAGACGCCTGGTCTGGTTTTTATAGAAGTTCTTTGGATGATAAAACCTTAATGTCCACCGGGTCACCTGCTTGAGCTGGTTCTAAGCTGTTTAGGTCATGCATACCAATATAAATGTTTAAACCTTCGTCAAAATGGACAGACGACACATACTTAGTTCAGTTAGATTCTCCACAATTTAGTCGTTTGGTGCTTATTGTTTTCGTAAAATGAACTAAAGTATTATTCATTCAGATTTACCGGCATGGTAAAAGATTTAAAGGCTTGTCCCATTTAGATGCCTGTCCCAAATACAGACAGGGAGAGTTAAGTGATTGAAGCAAAGGCCAGGCTAATAATTTATCTATCCATCTATGTACTTGGGCCCATCTCATACTGGTTTAATTGCTGCATCATATTTTATAAGCTGATGATATGCTTTTATAAGCTGATGATATGCTTTGTACATAAAATGGTAAAATAACGTAATGATAACTGTCAAATATGTATTGAAGTAAAATAATTCCATCTAAACTGAAGTGGAGGAGAAGTATGTGTAGTAGAAATAGCAGTGCAACTGTACAACATAACCTATCAATAAACAATAGTTTTTGTCTGTCCAGTTTAAATCAGAGCCTGATGAGCTCATCGTAGCCTGTAGGACAGAGCGTGAAACAGTTCAACAAAGTTTGAGTCTCAGTTTCACACTCAGCTCAGTAAAAAAATGTTAATCGTCAAACAGTTACAATAGCCCAAGTTGAGGGTACAAACATCTGTTCAATAATTTTAATAAAGCCAATTCATGATATACAGACAACGTTAAATATGTTTACAGTACAACAGATAATTTGTCTTCATGAGCTCCTGTCTGGAAAAACAGCTATGATTCTTAAATAAAAACTTCATCCTCAAGAGTTAACACATTTTCACAACTCCTTGACATGGAGTTTCCAGTGCTACAACAACAATGCACACTGAGGACATAAGCCAGCTAGGCAAGTCAAAATATTGCTGTACCGTCAACCCTCGATTTAATCTCTTGAGCACAGGGTGGGTCAACATTTCAATGCATCGTCAGAAACGGCAAATGGTTAAGGAAAAAAGCGTGATAAAATAAACATATACTCACGTACTTTTGTGCTTAAGTTAAAAGTCTAATTCAAACAGCATCATAAAATAAACATGTCATATGTAGTTAGATTTGAATTAGTCCATTGTGTTTTTTTCTCAATTGAGGAATGCAAACTCTAATATAGAAGGAAAAATCAAGTTGTATGAATAAAATCAGACATTTCTAATTTTTTTTCCTAATTTAACCTTTTGTAATGTCTGGAATCGTTCTGTACTATAAAACAATAATTCTTGAACTTGTAATCTTTTCATTCAGACTGATATATTTAAAGCTTGATTCACACAGACACAGTGGAGACAAAGCAGGAATGAGGACAGGAGGAGCAAAAGATGAGGCACTTCAAGTCAACAAGGTTAAGGAACCTTCAACTTGGATCAAAGTTTAGCAACTGACATGTTCCATCATTAAGCAGCCTCTTCTGTGTGGATAACTGGCTGATGTATGTACTGGTCATGGGGAAACTCACTTTCACAGTCTATTCTCTCAGAACTGACACCGGAGTTGATCTTGCATGTTCATCTCCCATTTTTGATCTCACTGAGACGATGGTAATGAATCCCTGCACCTGTTAAACTGGACAAACCACAGATGGTCACAATGCAACCTTATCTGTAAGATAAATCAATGACTTGAAGATTCATGATGATTTGGCGGCATCCGTTACTCAGAGCTGTTACGTTGCATGTTGTGTGTGCGTGCTCAAATGAAAGAGGAGGAAAATGGCTTCATCCATGCGTTTTCTTTTCCAGTGGGGTGTGCTAGGGGCTTGCCTTCCTTGCACTGACAAGGTAGCCCTTAGCCTTGATGATGCCTCTACTCTTGACAATAATGGAGTAGCGCAGGACCCACTCCAGCCGCCAGTTGGCAATGTTCAGGTCCTGCGTTCCCACCCGCACCGCCTCCTGGAATGTGGCTGCCGACATCAGCTCTGTTGACAGACACGAGGCCAAGTGTGTTTAAAATGCACAGGTACAAGTGAACTGTGCAAAGCACATGCAAATGAGATTCACTGATACTTCCCAGGTGACCTCAACTACAATTAATTCATTGACTTATACAGAAACATAATTTTTTGACAATAATGGAGCTCTATGGCACAGAGGAATAAGATATATTAGGCTTTTTCTGCAGAGACAACACCTGTTAGTGGGATTAACACATTGTTGGTTTTGGTCTTGTCTTGGAATTTGTTGACAATAACAAAAATATCAACATATCCGTAAATGTTTGAATAAACTCTGAGAACATTTGATCTGGGACGCTTGCACTCCGGTTGCAAACCCTTTCGCATCTATAAACTCCATCCAACTGACAACGGAAAGAAATAAACGGAATTTCACCTTTGGGATCGTTGTGTGTGAGCAGCTGGATGTCAAACTCCTTAGCGAAGGCTGTCAGGTCAGGAGGCATCACACAGCAGGAGGCCAGGTTCACCTGGTTACTGCTGGGCTTCACCTGGTACATGAGCAGGTATGTGGTCAGTGAATGTTCAACACAGGAAATGGCACTCAGAGCTGCCGGGTCTGTCAGTGCTGCACTGCCCAAAGCACCAGTAAAACACATTCCTGCTTGCAGTTCTTTTAATCTGTAAACCTGGCCTATTATCAAACAGCAGTATCTTGTTTGCCTCTAAAACCGAGCAGACACTGTACAGATTAAGTTTTGACTGAATTTTTGCAGTTTGAGCAGTTCCAAAGTCTGATTTCCTGCATGGTTGCCGTCTACATTTCTGCAGTGATCTTGTTTAGATACTGCTGAACTTTGCTGCAGAACTGACAGATCTCATTGTCTGAGACATCTGCAGCTCCATTTTTTCCTTCTTACTTTCCATTCATAGTAGAACAAAAAAATGCTGCTGTCTCTCGTTTTATCAACATTGTTGAGGATGCAGTAGTCTTCTTTAAACACATTTTATTGGCATTGTCAATGGATAAAGCAGATTGGGGCTCTCTTGCCTACGTTCAGGGTGAGCACCATGTTGTCGCCGGTCAAATGAACCGTAGTGTGAACACGAGTCACAGGTTCTGGCTGCACAGAAAGGCTGATTAGACGTGTAGCGTTAACACAACGTACACAAGTGATTTGCACAGTGTCTGCTCAGCTTAAAAATGACACATACACAATACAAGACACAAGTTACACAAGATACCCGCTCACCTGAGCCCAGCTGTGGAGCTGTTCCAGCAGATCTTTGTCCAGGTCAGAAGTGCCAATGGCGGCAATCTGCTGGCTCCTGACCAGAGCCTCCAGCTCCTCCCAGGCTGGCTGAAGGTGAGCCAAAGTTTGGCCATCACCCTCCAGGGGCCCAGGTGGCGCTATGATAACAGAGTCAAGCTGGGAGACTGCCAGCGTCTGGCAGGCTAAAGATGAGAGACAAACAAGGTAGTATCAGGAGTTCTGATTAAAGATGTTCCTATGAATTGTATATCATTTTTAAAAGCCCATGAAAATGCTGCTGAAGCGATTTAATGCTCACCCATCTCCACTGCATCTCTGATCGAGGATTCAACGGACTCACACAGGAACAGCTTGACTGTGAAAACAAAGCAACCATAAACATGTCGTCCCGCACACACTGCTTTGTTTGTTTTGTAGCATCTAAATCATTCATACTACATATTACTTATTTGTGATTCAGCCAGGCATTAATTCGGGATGCTCTGATCAATGGGTCAGCGATCAAATCAGAGATTTTTAACATAGGTAAGGCAAATAAATGGAAGTGTTTTGACTGGAATCTCACTGCTGAAAAACTTTTAAACACAGTGCCTGCCAGTACAGTAAATCACTACATAACACTGCAAATTGAGGTGGTAGATCTGGCCAAAATCTATGGTACATGTAATTTTATAAATCACAGTAACGTGGTATGCGTGTGTATAAATTTTTTATATATATAATCTATCTTCTGCGGCTGCGGCACAGCAGCTTAGAGGTGCATAACCGCCACCAACTGATGCTCTCACGTAACAAGCATTCCTGCTGCCCAAATCAGAGGTAGCTGGATTTGTGCGATTCAATAGAGAAACCGACCTGAAACCTTCAGCTCTTCCCTCTCTTCAGGTGTGATAGCATCTGTTTCCTGAGGAATGGAGCAGTCCAGTGTATCTGGAAAGTCCTACATGACAAGAAAAGTGAAACTGTGTCACCTGTTTTGTAACTCAATCCATTTTCTGACTCGAATACGTTACACTGCTGGCATCCCCCGTCTGTTCAAATGATGGCGTTTGGTCATTACATAAAAAAAGTCAGAAATTCCCCTCACAGAGAAAGTCACAATGCTTGAGTGATATTTGGCTTCTAATGCACAAACCATGGCACTCTGCCATGAGAGGAATCTCCTCAAAATGGGTTTGTGGTTTACAAAACTGATTCTGTTTTCTTTGTGCGTAAGAATTGATAATAAAGGTGAACGTGACATGCTTTTTTTTTTTTTGCTTGGTTCAAATATAACATTTGCTGCTGCAGTAATGTTACTAAGTCCGACCTGGTAAAATTCTTTTAGGCAAAAGTGCAT